TCCAGGGATTACTGTCATCACTGCAGCCCCTGCTCCTGCTGCTGCTCCTTACCCTAAACCGCAAACCCTAAAAGCCCTGCTACCGCAAACCTGAAACACTCTGAACCTGAATGACAGCCTGACTGCCGGTTCCCATTGTTTTCTCAAGCTTGCAGACGCTGTCCACACTCTTTGGCCGACGAGCAGAACTCATGGCCTGGTTTTTATTGGGCTCTAAGGCGTTAGGTTGAGCTTAGGGTTTAGGGCCTTAGGGCTGTAATGTTAGGTGTGAGGTTTAGTTTTGGGTTGTAGGGCTTGATTATCGGCTTGAGGGTTTCAATTTTAGGGTTTAAGCCATGAAGTTTTCGGGTTTTAGTCTCAAGTCCTTGGGTTTCTGGGGTTTCAGTATAAGGGCTGGGCGTTGGGCTTGGGACTTGATAGCTTCAGGGCTGACTGGGAGTGGTCTCCTGAAAGCTGAGCTTTGGCTCTGCTTTCTGGATTGCGCCAGGCTCGCAACATCTCTTTCTCTCCCTCTGTGTCTCTATGCCACTTTGCAGTTACAAGGTGAATATGCATGGAAACCATCTGTGCAAGTATAAGTGGAAGCGTGAATGTGCACAAGCAGATGAGCAGTTTTCATACAAATACTAACCCACCTGGAATGTATGTACATATGCACATGCGCATTCCCAAAAACCCTTTTGTCTCTTGTCTACCTACCGACTATATATAAGCAGCTGTGCATGTCTAAGTCCGTCTACGTACCGGATGATGTGAAAGGCACAGCTAGGCGGGTCAGACCGTGTGACGTCTGCCAATGCTCTTTTATACAGGTTTGGGGGGGTTCAGTGGGATCAAATCCTACACCCTAACCCCCCAAACATCTTTCACCCTGAGCCATGGGTCGCGAGTCCGTCCATCCTATATCCAAGCTTCTGCCTGCAACCCTCGCACAGAACCCATGTCACGAACCCTCACTTGATACACCTTAATGAACCCCAAACCCTTACTAACCCTTCAATGGCACACCCTGCACCTTACGTCGGACAAATCTCGCAACCGAATGAAGGGGCCTGAGCAATTTCGACTTTTATTCCTGAAGGGTTCCTGTTGCAACCAGGAGTACAGTATGGTCTAATATGTTCCAACACCCTAGTTCCAATCATTGAAGCCCCTGCATTAGGCACCGGTGCTCTCAGGCTCTTGCTTGCGGAGACAAACAGTCGCCGGACAATCGCGTGCATGACCTTCTGAAGCGACTTTCAGTTAAGTTTCGGGATTGAAAACACTCCTACGCCTCAAAGACAATTGAGCGCGACATTCAAGGTTTAGGTTCGAACAAGTATGAACAAGGGTAGTTTCGTAAATTAGGGTCCCGTTTTCGGTCCTCAAACATGCCGAAACCCGAAGAAACATGAACAAGAGCAAGCAGTTCGCACTGCTGCGCGGCAACCCGCGTCCCAACTTTTCTGCGGCCCGATATAGAATATTATAGAATATGATTTTCGGTACATAAGATTAAGGGTCAACCAGAAAAGGTCTATAAGGGGTTAGGAAACATATATACATATAACGGATGTATACATGAAACTATATATGTATAGAAAATATCCATAAGTATGATAAAATTAAGTGTGTATGCATGCATGCATGTATGTATGTGTGTATGTACATATGTATGCATGTGTGTAGGTGTGTATATATATATATATATAATATACATGTCGTAACAATGTAGGTACCACAGAAAACATGGTGCAAACAGCCTCTTGGTCCACGCCCGTTGCCACTGCTCCATCGACTTTCATGGCAGCGAACCTTTCAAACTCCGAGGTGGTTTAGGGAGCCCCGAAACCGCCGACATGAGGATGGTAAGGTGTTGGGGCTTAGGGGCTTAGTATAAGCCTTCAGGACTGGAATGATTTTTTTGGCGTGGTTTTAACAGCACAGGCCAGCACACAACCCCTCAACCCTAAGACCCTCTAATGCATCACATCCTGAAGAGCTGTGCTGCAGGCTTTTCCCAGTCTTCGTCAAAGCGAAGATACCACAGCTCCTCGCGATTGCGCGTGGAGGAATCAAACGAAGCGAACATCTTGGACAATCTGACTTTGTCTTGGGGGATTAGTGCGGCGGGATACACGAAAATCGCAATAACTCAGTGTATAAGATCACCAGCAGCAAAAATCAGGTCCACATGAAGACGCAACAAACCCTCGGAAACAGGCCACCCCGTAATGCAGGGGCCTTAATCATTAGAACAGAGGCTTCTGGGGTTCCTTATTATAACCATAGTAAAATATCCCCCCGAAACCCTTTCTACCTAAACCCCCCTCCCAAAGTAGGGAAAATAATGGCCCAATACCTATAAAAGGCCATTTTTCTACATACTTTGGGGTTCCGGGTAGTTATTAAGGCCCCTTTATTACAGCAACCGAGGCCTGCTTTTACCACAGGTCATGCCTGCCTTGCTGTGCTCGGTTCAGGACATCTCAGGAGGATTGACGTCGGTATGGCTTACCTTTGGTAGGGAATGGAAGAATGGCAGTAATAGTAGCTATAATTGTACCCCATTCCTCCATTCCCTACTAACCAAAAGCAAGATGAGTGCCGAAGCGGCTCCTGCACAGGAGGGGCCGCGTTTCGACCTTGGCAAGGCACGGTTTCTCGGACGGACCAGGCGAGGCATGTGGGTCGAGGTCTTTCGTTGTGAAACAGTCTATTGAGAGCCTGACGACCAGAACACAAAGTGAAGGTACGATTTAGGAGTTGAGGGGTGGGGGCCACGGGTGAAAGGGTTTAATGATACCCAGGACCCTGACTAGATGAACTCAGTCAGGGCTTGTAGCTGATGCACCTTCAAGAAGACATTTAACTCAACCGCACACAGACATGGCTTCCACATGAAGGCCTGTTAAAGCGCTGAACAATGCGAACAGCAGGATCTCAAAGCCGCGCCAGAATCCTAAACTTAAACAAGTCAAAACGCGAGGTGTGCCAGGAAAGCTTTAAAATAAACAGATTTGCTCCGTTTTGCCACCCAACATCGCCCTGGGCGCCATGCCACCCATGGCAATCGTCTTGTGGGAGGGCCTCGGGAGCACAATTCTGCATGTGCAGATGTTCGTGAGTGTGTCGTTTGATGCATACGGAAATTCGAGCCATGACATATATATATATATATATATAAATACATATATATATATATATACAAATCGGATATAGAATTACATATATGTATACACACGCACACACTGTTTTGCCTTACCGATGAGATGTACGGGCACGTCCGAGGAACCGACCACTCCAGTGTCATGGCACGCTCCTCCAGTGTGCCATCTTTTCTGAAATCTATTCCAGGACTTTCCGGGTGAATGTTTGCAGCAACTCTGTGACTCTGTGTGCACTCTGATTGCCCACAGCAGTTGATGAGCTGTTAAATCTGTTTTGTTCCCGAAGCTCTTTGCAACTGGAAGTTACTTCAACCATCATCCTCGCCAGCACAGCCACTTTTGGGATGCGTGACTCTAAGCATCATTCCCGAACATCAAAACCATTGTTTTGTAGTTTCTGGCTCTCTGGCGAAGCTCTTATCATCAACGTGAGCCATCTGAGCCGGATTCGCTGGTAGCTTGCGGTGCTCATGCTTGTTGCTGTATCTTCCTACCAACAAACGGATGATGGACCGGCGAATCCGCAGCTAGTACAATACATTGGCAGGGCTCTGCAGCCACTTTTGCCTGAGAAGGCTTCGCTTTGGACTTTGTGCACTGTAGAGTCTCGCACTTAGGGTTTGAGGGAATAGAGTATCTAGGGTTAGGGCATGGCTCTGATGTTGCACTCTGTTTCTGCGCTTGCAGCTTCCTCTTGCCTACAGCTCCTCCACACCAAATTATATCCGGACACTGTGGCAGCGATGGCACTCACAGCCACGCAGCAAGCAATCAGTCGCGTACGCACCCTGCCATCTGCTGTACGCAAGTGTCCAGCCCAAGGACGAAACAAATGCATACACGCGAGAATAGTTTAAAGGATACAGCTGTCTTTCTTTGCAAGAAAAGGCTATCCAAGTTTTAACCATCATTTTCCTGTCCTCTGACGTGCTCAAGACTCAAGACTCCGAGCCACTTTGGCTCAGTCGGCACAGTAGGCCTTTCTTGACGTAGAGCACGAGAAGTTGTCCCTAAATTGTGGAACTTCAAGTCCGGCACACCTATCCCGCAGCACTCCGACATATTTAGCTTGATATAGAGGCCTTAATAATTCCAACAGGGCTTTGGGGCCCCTATACTATAACTGTTTAATACTAAGGACCCCCCAGAATAGTACAGGTACTTATTAAGGCCCCTATATTCCGAGACTGCGACTAAATCCTAAGCTCTCGACCCTGAAACGGTAGCCCGGTCAAAGGCTGCAAAGCAGACATTGGTGACCGTATCTTGGGATGGTCATCGCAGGACCGGCCTCAGCGAGTTGGAATAGGAGCTGAGACCTGTCTATACATATGTATCAACACATACCTGCATGCATGCATATATGCACATATCTATCCCTACATCTCTAACTGCTGATATACACATAGTATACATCTACACACCTATCGATATTTAACAGGCAGATCGATAGATCGACGGATTGACAGATGCAGAACACACATGCATACGCTCAAATCTACTATATCGGAGCTCGTCGGGCCATAAAACTCAGGCCCTGGAATGCCGTGTAGCTTGGGCTGAACACGCTCCTAGGACTTTCTGAACGAATCGGTCACCGGCTTGCATGCGAGGAACTTGCCACTCGTCCAGCTCTGGCCTATAGAACTCTGTAGATGAGAGGACGCTCCCGTTTTGGCCACCACTGACCTGTGGGGCTTAGGGTTTCAGGCTTTTCCCTGCTCGCAACGGGCTCAGAAGAGGATCGAGAGATTAAACTGCTTGCGGTTTAGGGTGTCAAAGCTCTCCAGCCGTCGGTGTCTCCGAGTTTTGGGGTTTAGGATTGGGCCCATGATTGGGACGTCGCTTGATGGGTGGGGTTGCAGGATTTCTTATTTCAATACGATTTGTGCACGGTGTTTTGAGGTCTGGTGCTGTCCCGATCGTCCTGGATGTCATCGTGGGGTGGTCTTACAACCCTAAGTGCCTTCAACCCTCTGCTTAGCTGGATTAAGGTTTTATGGTGAAGGGCCAGGGTATATAGAGCTTGAACCACGCCGTTTGGAGGTCCACACTGGCATACAACAGAGGACTGAACTATTGGGAACATCTTCTCCTCGATTCTTTCTATACAAGTAAAGTGCTCTCTACCTTAACACCCACTCTATCTGTTCAACCTCCTATAGGCACCATCGTAGAACAAATGAGCCCTGTAGCCGAAGCGGCCAACTTCGCGTGTTATCACGGAGCTCGGGTTGAGGCTTTAGGGATGTTGACGGATTTTTATAAAGGGTTTAGCGTTTCGGCGCTTACACTCGGACAATCCAGGCAAGGCATGTGGTCGGAGTCTGTTGAGCGAAGAATTCTAGTGGGAATGTTAGGGTCCGGCAGCAAAGACGTTAACAACATCGAAATAAACACAGCAGCAGTGCTACTTGCATTCCCCTCTCGAAATCCAGGGAGTTGGAAGCAATGGCTATTTCGCCTATTCTAGGATACCCAGTAACCTAAGAATAAAAAGGCCTCTCTTTTTGGTATTGGGTAACTTTATAAGGAACCTAGGACTACAAAAAGGGAATAAGGGTACTACTGGGCATCCTAGTATTAGTGAGATCGGACTTCGGGGATGATCACAGCTAACGGGACATCGCAGGGACAGAAGGACCGGGTGTGGCCGGGGTCCGTGTGATCTGTTCCTGGGAATCATCAAGATTGCCATAGGGTTTAGGGTACTTTAGGTGTAGGGCTCCAAGATCCCGTCAAACGAAAGAGTTGATGTTTCTCTCTTCTTTACTGGGTTGTAGTTTTGGGGCTCTGCAAAGTATTTATGAATAGGTACCTCTATAGGAACCATAAGGGAAATTAAAAAGTTTCCCAAATTGCAACCTAGTTTATCTTGAGTCTAACTCCTCGGTAGAGTACTTAGCTGGCGGCTTAATGGCGCACTGATTAGTAGGCAAAATTTAATTGCATGCCCTGCCCCTGGCCATGTCATTGAGGACCTTTGAACCCATGTGCCGCGCCTATAAGACACGCCTGCAGCCTCGACATCAGCCCGACTCTCCCTCACGCAACTCATACACACATACGCATAGAGACAGAAAGCCCAAAGCCCTGAAGCCTAGAGTAGCACCTGCACCGAAATCTACATGTATACCTGCAGTCCCAAAGCCAGGTATTCAGAGCCGATCGGCCATGATCGAGTCGGAGATCACGGCTGCGGCAAAGTCCATTCTGGACTCCTGACAGTCTGTAAAAGAACCGATCCCGATCCCTAAAAGCCGAAAAGCCTAAACCCCTATCCCGATCCCTAAAGAACCCCGTGTCGCGCTGCCCTGGACTTTATTGTTGACAGCCTGTCTCTGCACTTGCAACTTAGCGTCTGTATAAGGGGAAGATAAATTTCAAATAAATTCAACACGAGATGCAGACGAGCCCTTTTTTACACGGCTTCTGCAGTCAAGGGAGGGCAGGTCTTCCTGACGTTTCGTGGATGGAATCGGCCGGACCCAGGGATGCTGGCTAATCAACCTGACATCCCAGAAAAGAGCTCAAGACCCCTCATTTAATGCTAGAACATGAAACACAACCGCACTCTCACTGTTTGCCTGCATCGGCGCGCGCAGGCTAAATCGGTTCTCGTCCGGGTCGAGGCACTCGGCTGAGAAATGGATCCTGGATCAGTCGACTCATTGGGCTTTTCGACTCGCACACTCGCAAAAGGGCAGGCACGGATCCATGAGGTCGAGATTGGGTGTTCAGGGTTTCGGGCTGCTTCTGATCATCGCCATGAGTGGGTCGTAGCAGCAGTCGCAGTAGTGTGAGGCTCCCAACGGCTCTGGCTGTTGGCTGTGGGTTCCTGTGTGTCTCGATGGTTACAAGTTCAATAGGTAGAGCAGTTCAGGAAACGGCGGTTATACTTCATCAAGCGGGTCTAACCTAACAGTCTAAGCCCGTTTGAACATCGGCAATATGGAGAGCTTCAGCCCATCATCAACTCCAAATTCTCACTCGACATGCCTTTGAAGTGCCCTGATTGTCGGTGGCCTTACCAGGGTGACAATGATGCTCACTGCCTACGACGATTCTGCATTCTGCCTTTCAACAGAAAGTACGGGTACCCATTCAGTGCCATTGCAATCTCGTTTTGCTCGCGTGATAGTTGTTCTGTGTCGTCCGCTTGCTCTTATACTCCGCACAGATGCGCGCGTTAAGTCAAGCACGGCGACGTAGTTCGAGCCCATCGCGAGCAGTATCAACGGCACGTCACAGGCCTAAACAGTGCTGACCTCCCAGACCTAGAATGAACAGCCCACCGACTGGTCATGGTCGGACTGTTTATTGCCACACTCCGTCCAAAGCCCGACACCCTAGAACCCCCAACCTGAATGGCGTTCATGTCCTTCTTTGTAATTAGCCAGATTGCCCGCCCCCTGCTGCCCACAACAAGCGGGCAGAAACATTCTCCTGCCCCAAGCCCAGATAAGGGCCCATAGACTGGACATAAACTCCGATAAACGGATCTGTTTCTCAATGCTCTATGACTCTATGCTTCTTTGCTTTATCGGGCCTGGGAGGGCTCCGTTCTATCAGCAAACGAAGAGTCCCGGTCTCTCCCGTGCCTCTGCTCCTCATCGGTCCCTCCCAGAGCGAAGACGTGGTGAACACAGTTCGAAGCCTGAAAAGTGCCATATACTGAACGTACTTATACGGCATACGGTAACATACTCCAAGAGCCCATTGGATCTTTCATTATCGCCATGACAACTAGGTGGCTTGCTTCTGTATTTGCTTGCTTTATTGTTCTTCTGCTTCTGGCCATCATTGTCATTACTACTGTTGCTATTGTTATTGTCATTCTTACTAAGGTCACTACATTAAGCCCCACAACTCTTGGCATAATCATTCAAGACCTGCAGAATGTGGCTGCCGGTCGCCCTGGTTGTATTTTGAGGCAGAAGCGACGAAACCCAGGAAGCCCAGCTTCGAACTTATGTGAGGCGCGTTCGGAGCCCGGGGCCCTGCTGGGCTGCTCACACGATCCCACGTGCCAAAATCCGTCAGAAATCAAGAAACTCGACAGTCTCCACCCCAAACCACCAAAAATCCCTAAACCGTCAACAACAGCCTCTGAGTAATGCTACTAGCATAAATACCATACGCCCCCCGCCCC